GCCTGAACTTTAAGCATTAGTCGTAATTTAACACTAGCTTTGATGGTGTTAGTTCATAATAATGGCAGTAATATCAGTACCAAAACTGCCCGGCTACCAGTAAGGATATTCCGCGTTAGTGATTTTACTGGGATGCTCCCACACACCGAAGGCTACTGCGTCGGACTTTTCGATCTTGAGCTGTATGCCTCCAATTAGTATCCACAAAATCTTTGATGTATGTGCGCCACGTCTTCGAAGTCGTCCGAGTGATCATTTGCTTTCTCGTAGGTAACATTCAGTAATGCGCGTCGTTTACCGGTTGTCCGCGACGCAGACAAAATCCCCTGCTCATAAGATTTTGCAGAAGAATAAAAATAATAAAAAATGTGATAAAATATAGTTCGCTTGCCAATACATTCTTCTTCCTAAGTTTTACAGATGAAATCGTACTTAATAAGTACTCTTAAATAGTGACGAAACTTCTATTTTATATTCAAAATGCCAGCATTGCCCGGATTGTCCATGCTGAAAGTCCAAAGTCATAGAAAAACAGGAGCAGCATTCTGCTGCGCCGGATTTTTTTGCTTAAGCTGCGTACTTTCACTGATGCAGTCTGATCGTATGCCGGTCACTTCAGCAGAAGCAGCCCAGATGTTCGATTTTCTTCATGCGTGCTGGTACTGAATTCGTCGGTTTCCCGCAAAACGAGCATGGTTCTGTCTCGTCTAGTTTCTTTTGCTTTTGTGGTCAAAACGACATCAAGTCGTGAGTCCCGTGTTCTGTCCGGTCGTCTATATGGTAGCGAAGAAACAAACTCCAAGTAATCGTCGCTCTTCCCGTCATAGCAGCATTTGTTTTACTTTCGCTGGCAGCCATGATCTTACCCATGAATCTTTGCTTTCAGCCTTCAATTAGCCGTTCGACAATTAAGCTTTGCATAAGTGCGGTAAACCGCATAAAAAAGATATACTTCGTCTGATTTTGGACTCCGAAGTGAGAGCGGTGGCGTATTCGACATCTGATTGTCCAAGCTTGTCAGAGTCGAACCGTCCCAGCCGTCATCCTCATCCCGCCCATAAATATCCGTTCTCACCGACGATGGCTGCTAAAAATTATCGTTCTAGATCTCTGAATTTCCTCATATTTAATCTACATTCAAAGCAATTTGCAGAACAATTTCATCATTCTTCATTTTTGGATAAAACCACAGGCAACATTAGACAGTCTTGTTTTTCATTTTTCGTTTACTTATTTCCCGGTACAGAATTAATTAAAACTTAAAAAATAATTTGTTCAATTTATTTCTGCGCACATTTCAAAGCCGTCAAAAATGTAGGGATCCCATTTTAATGATGTCCTAGCCTTATCGCCTTTAGGCTCTAATTCAACTTCTTTATTCCCTATCAGCTTCTCACATTTTCTATTCTAAAACTCACACTGCATTTAAATTCTGTACGCAACATTAGAAAAAAAGATGCGCTGCTTTTGGATCTTAGTCTTTCAATGTTTGTTTTCTCAGCTGCTTCACATTTGTTGCCTTCATAGTGATACCTCAATATTGTTTGAATCGCAGTCATGTCGGCAAAGGACATCATTTTCCCGCATCACAAACTCCTCCCCAGGTACCAGTTTCTTGTCGCAGCTCGAGCACGAAAAGCATGCGGCATGATAGTTCAGAGATCGAATTTTCATCGCCATATCCCTCCGCGAAATATACCCTTTGCAACGCACACATTTTTTGGCGTCCGTAATCCTAAAATCTGGCGCAAAAATAAACACAGAGCAAGGATGGAAACACATATTTTTCTGCTCTTTTATTTATCGAAAGAAACTCGCATATAATTGTAGATTCAGGACCTAACATCCCATTCTGCAGTAACCGAACTTCCCAGTGACTTTTATAGATCATTAACAGTGGTAAAAAACAGCGACGCAGGCAAGAAAGACTGGTAAGACGAATTTGAACTCTCAAGAGAGTATCAATTGATGTATCATAGAGCCATTTCCCATTGCCCCGCATCGAAATCTTCCACAGTTTCTTTAAATGAAATGCGCACCTTACAATAAAGGGGATAAAATGAAGAAAGAAAGAGAAAAAAGCAAGCCGGTTACGGAAAAATGTTTATTTATGCTAACTGCGGTAAATTTTTGTTTTACAGAAGACTTCTGACCGAACACGTGTTGGAGCAGCTTCCCTCTACCCAACTCGGAAAGCAACTATTCGCCGTACACGTCTAACAGCCATTTCAAACGCACTATAGCTGTGTTATTGCGAAATTAGAACTTATAATTCAGCGCGTTCTAATTTTTTCTGTGCTTAAGAGCTACGCTTTTTTCACGTCTTTGCAGCGCCTACATGCCTATTAGAAAGGTGCGTGAACTCCCACGCATGGTTCCGAAAATATATTCAATGGTGTCTCTAAATACGGAGGCAAACAGATTTCCCCATCCCATACTGCCATTCATCACTTTCATGGGTACATGTGGTATTTAAATTCGTTACCTTTGACTCTAATATTTCATCCAAAAATCCTCCGAGAAATCATTTTTCAAAATAAACTAGTTTTGCTTAAGCATTTTTACAGCATTTTAGCTTAATGCATATTGTGGCTGTTTCTTAGGAATCTTCAAACCGCCCACTGATAATCCGAGCAATATTTGCAGATATACTCATATTTTTATTATCACAAAGCAATTTCGATATGGCAAAAAGCGCTATCTTCTCTCACGTCATAATTACTGGTCCGCATTCCTATAACTTGCTGATTTGTCTTGCCTTAAATTCGTAATAGCGCTCCAGCAAACCGCTTTTTAATTACTACAGGAAAAAAAAACCATCGACAACTTTTATCAATAGTTTTCTTATTGTTGACAGGATGTAACTCAGTCTTTTTCTGCACCCCAACAAAAGTCCAAGATTTAAGAGTCTTTGTTTTTAAAGTATCAGAGTTTTGAGCAATGAGTCAACGGATCTTCACATTCCTCCAGGAACTATCCCTCATTTGAACACTAGCTGCGTAACTGATCCAAGGACATAGAAAGAAGTTTGGCGCTACTGAATTCAATGCTTGTTAATACTCCAACACTTTCTGTTCAT